CAGATTCATCTTCTACCAAAAATGTCTCCAGACAGTGCCGAATGTTTCCAGGTGAGACACTGGTATATATTGATAGCCCAAGAAAAACAATTATTTTGCTAAGAACCCCCATTGCTCAAGAAAGATGCCTTTTTCTAATGGTTTTACAAATGGTTTTGCATGGGTCTTCTGTCCTATCTAAATAGGCCATCAACATTTTCAAAACCTTAGCCAGTTAGTTTATTGATGGAGCCCTGATGACCAGTAGTTGAATACTTGACTGCTAACAGAGCGAAAGGCTCTGCGGCTGGTGGTTGGAACCCACCAGTGACTCCAGGGGAGAGAGAAAGCTACAGCAGCCTCTGGAACCCTGGGGAGCAGTTCTAGTTTCTGCCCTGCCCTGCAGGCCACTAGGAGTTGAATCCATGTGACAGCACTGGATTTGGTTTGGGTGCTGCTTTTAGAGTAAATAGAAGAAAGATCAGATTGATACCAAGGGCTCAAGTAGAAAGCAAATGTTTTGAGAATGATGAGGGCAACAAATGTACAAATGTGCTTGACACATTGGATGGATGGATGGATTGTGGTAAGAGTTGTACAAGCCCCCAATAAAATGAATTTTAAAAAAAGAAAGATTTATATTTTCGTACCCTCGCTCTCTACCATGCTTATAGTCTCCAAGAATGGGAAATGTGCATGGTTTCTTGGTCTGTAGTGAACAGATGATGTGTTTTCTCTTGAAAGGGAGCGCCTGGTTTTCCAAGGGAACTTGTATGTGAAACATCGACTTCTGAGAGAAGCCAGGGGTATCTCTGCTTTGCCTTTGTTCTTTCTTCCACACGTTCTTGAAAAAGAGACCCGGGCACTTCTTCTCACATGATGGGGTTGGTGTTGGGAAATGGGGACTGCAGGGATGATTCTTCCGTCCTTTCTGGAGCCCTAGAGCCCTAGCCACGAAGGAGAAAGTTCTGGCTTATAGCAGAGTTTCGGGAATCTCACGGTTCTGGAGGTCAGTCTGAATCTAGGTACCCAGCAAGTCATGTTTTTTCTGAATGGTCTCGGGGAGCATCCTTTTGTGTCTTTCCCACTTCTGAGAGTGTACCTTTCCCCTCCCTGCCTAACTTCCCCTGTTTCATAAGATGCCACTTAGTTTGGATTAGGATATGATTAACATATGCAAAGATTTGGGGGGCACACAGTTCAACCCATACCAGCGCTCATGAGTAGCAGATTTAAGCACAAAACCCAATTTGTCATTGCCCTTAAACACCAGGCAATAAAGATGCATTTATCACTGAGTACGGGGACAGTATCAGTTCCATGTGGAAATTATCAAGCAGTGTGATTACTGTCACATGCAAGTAAGGTTTTGCTAAAGACAATTAGAAATGGTTGCAATAGTACATGATGAGAAATTTCATTTAGATTCAGAAGACAACGTGGAAGGAGGAATTTCACTACTCTTTGCAGGTGAATCCCGACTGAAAGCAGAGAGTGTCAGAAAGCTATTTGGTAATTTTGGCATTTGACTGTGTGGATTATAGCAAACCAAGGATCACACTGAGAAGAACGGGTATTCAAGGACACTTCCTTTTCCTCAAGCCCCAGGGGGAGCATTTGAATAAGATATTGTCTGATTTAAAATCAGATAGGTATGTGCGGGGTTGTGTCTTTTCACCATTAATTCTGTTTGTGTGGTGAGCAGATAATTCAAGAAGCTGGACTTGATGAATAAACAAGTGGCTTCAGGATTGAAGGGGGTCTCATTAACCTGTGATATGTAGGTTACATAACCTTGCCTGATGAAAGAGAAATAGACTTGAAGAACTTACTGATGAAGAGGGAAAAAAAAAAAAGTAGTCTTCATTGTGGTTATGCTTTGATGTAAAGACAGCAACATTCCTCACACCGGACCAATAGAAGACATATGTACCTCATAAACCGAGGGGAGATCGAAATTGTCAGGGATTTCAGTTTGCTCAGATCCGCAGTCAGTGCTCGTGGAAACAGTGACGATATCAAAATACTATGCTAGGCATATCTACATAAGACCTTAAAGAGCAAAGAATGTCACTTTGAGGACTAATGTGCACCTGACCCAAGCCCTGGTGTGTTCCTTTGCCTGATGGGCCTCTGAAAGCTGGACAATGAATAAGGACGGCTGGAGAAGAATTGTTGCAGGCTGGGTTTCACCACCCAGGTCTACTTCACAGCGGTGACGAACCAGCTTTTTATCCTGAGATTACTGCATATGTTTTGGTGCTGCACATGGTTAAGCACTTGGCCACTAACCCAAAGATCAGTAGTTCTAATTCACCCACAGGTGCCTCGGAAGAAAGCCTTGGTGAACTGTTTAATAAAGGCCTAGCCATCAAAAACTCTGGAACCTAGTTCTCCTCTGACATTCATGATGTCTCCGTGAGTTGGGACTGACTTGATAATAACAGGTGTGTGCGCGAGCGTGGCCCCCCTCTGACATAAAACCCATCTCTGAAGTCTTCTGGTGATCACACTCTTGACGATTTGGAGGGTGGGTGGCGGTCATCGGGTGGTGTCTTCTGCCCTGTGGTTAAATTCCTGCCCCTCTGCTTAGCTTCTCTCATCTGCCTTTAATCAATGCTGTGCTTAATTACCCTGCTGCACTTGCTTGTGTATGCATCAGTGCACCCACTCCCCACCCCGCCACGCCGGACATGGCTCTGGCTCTCCAAGTAATGATAGTAATTGCTGGCAGGGCAGACTTGTTCCTCATTCTTTTCCGCGCACATTTCTTATGGCAGGTGTCTAGTTTCTAATTAAGTGCTAATGAGCATGCCTAGTGGACCATGACGTTGCTGCCAGCTCCTTCAGTTTTATGTCTTGCTATTGCTGAGCTCTTAACAGGTGACAGAGCAAGAATTAGTGTATTTGGGATGACAGGAAGGTGATTTTATGCACACAGAAATGGTTATTATGATCTCAAATGGAGAATGAGTAGTTTTTAGATTATTCCCCCACAAATACTATTACCGCTGCCTGTTCTGACCTTGCCCCTGGTTGCAGTTTCCCTCTAATTAGAACTGTGCTCACTTGAGAAGAAATGGAAGTTTTAAACCAAGTTGGCTCCTAAAGATTTCCTTAAAGATGCTAGGCGTGGTTGGAAATGTACTGTAAAATTACCGTAGATGGCTGATTTCTGCTTTTCAGTGCTTCTGTTTTTTCTCCAGGGCTGGAAGTATGTGTAAGATCATAGATCAGTGTGCTGGGTGGAAATAGGTGAAGATGTGGCATGAAGACTTAATATATTCAGTACACGCAAGGGGATAATAAATAAAACGAGTAATTTAGTCCCAGGGAAGTGAGCACAAGTCAGAATCTTGAGCATGTTCTAACATTACACCTTAGAAATCGGGCTTTAATCATTCCTACTGTCTCATCAAAAATGAATTTTATGTTGGACAGCTGAAATGGGGCCCGATTTATGGTGCTGGGACCATTTCTTGGGTATTTTTTCATTTTGTACAACATGGTATTAACTACAATATGTGAGAGCAACCGTACCTTTTAATATGAACAGATTCATAATTTCTGGGATGGGTATCATGGAAAAGGAATTGGATAGGTGTGGTTTGAGTCCCTCCCAAGTGGATAAAGCCACTTTCCTTTGCTAACTGCTGATGTTTTCTGGGTCTCATTCCTGTCACCTGGGTGGTAGAAATCACATGGGAAGGGTTGAAGTGTGGGATGTGGGAGAAAGGAGAAAATTCGCCTCTGTCTTCCAGCTATGGCCAGCATGGGTCATGAAACTGGACCCTGTTCTGTGCTATGGTAGCTTAAACGTCAAGTCCAGAATTAGAGTCATTTCCGCATTGACTTCAGTCCTCTTCTGTCTAGTTGGAGAAACTCATTTATTTAATAGAATCTTCAGAGCCTTGGTTCCTTTTCTGGGAATATCGATACTTCCTCGTAGTTCTTTGAGAATTGAAGTCAGTAAAGCAGACCCAAATAAATGCCAGTCTGCGTGGGATTGACATCTGGGTGTTGGTTCTTCCTTCTTTGTGAATTGTGTTAATTAAAGCTAATGGTTTTGTTTCTCTCATCAGACCACTGCTTAGTAGGCTAATAGAGAATACAAGGGTAGAGTGGAGTCACATACTAACTGAGCAGTACAAGTGGTTACTGTGCTGCCAAACAGGCTGAAGGGTCAAGTCCACCTATAGGTGTCTTAGAAGAGAGGCCTGGTGATTTGTTTTCCAAAAAACAATTCCTTGGAAACCCTGTGGAGCACAGTTGTACCCTTGACACACACATGGTGTTACCTTGAGTTGGTGTCCACTCAGTGGTACCACTGCTCCTGCTACTCTCATTGTCACTGAGTGGATTCTAGCTCACAGTGACCCTGTAGAACAGGATAGAACTGCCCCTATGGCTTTCTGAGACTAGAACTCATTAGGGGAGTACAGAGCCTCATCCTTGTCCCATGGAGTGGCCTGGTGATTTAGAATTTCCACTGTGTGACTATGATGGTAAATGAGAGTAATGTTGGGCTACTGTATTTTTCATTTGTACCCACCCCACCTCCATACATTTTTACCACTTGAACATCAGAATGAACCTTATATCTCACACTAAATCTCACGCATCATAGATTCAAACATACTTGATCTTATATTTGGCAGCACATAAAAATGGAATCAATATCTGAGCGCTTACTGATGTAGCCCTACTTGTTAAATGATAACCAGCTGCACTCATAACTGGGTGAGTTATGCCAGAACGTTACAGTGTAGGTATGGGGACAATACAAGGGGCAGATGGGGAGTAGTAGGTGAAAGAAGCTTTTGATGAACAGAAAGCACTAATCACTTGTTTTCTCCTTTCCCCCTTGTTTCTTCCTTCACTCCCTTTGTGTGTATGTTCAACCTGTTCTGCTGTCTCCTTCATTTCATGTCATGCCTACTTTACCTCCCGGATGCTGCTGCCACCACCATCACCATGTCCTTTTCCTCCTCCTCTTCTCCCACCACCACTGCCACCAACAGCAGCAGCAGTTACAAGCTCAGCACCTCTCTCATGGCCATGGACCCCCAGTACCCCTCACGCCTCACCCTTCGGGACTTCAGCCTCCTGGAATCCCGCCCCTCGGGGGCAGCGCTGGCCTCCTGGCGCTGTCCAGTGCCCTGAGTGGGCAGTCTCACTTGGCAATAAAAGATGACAAGAAGCATCATGATGCAGAGCACCACAGAGGTGAGAGGCCGGGCAAGCCAGATTAGGACTTGGTCCTAATACCTATACGGTGCTGCAGAATTGTGTGCATCACTACCGAGAGTCCCACCCTATACAGAAAGAGAACCGTGAGATAAGTGGAGCTGTAGCAAAGCTCTGCCACTGAAAAATGGTGCACATTTTCAGGGCTTGACGTGGTAATTTGTAGCTTCCCCGAACTCTTTAGTTTGCAGGCATCTTGACATCTTGGCAACAGTTTAGTTAATGCCAGTGGCCTGTACCATATTATGGAAAACTGTTAACTGCTTAATTGGGTAATTTTCAAAGAAAGTAATGTTGTTAAATGGGGCGAAATAAGAAGTTAAATTTGAAAGTGAATGTGTTCAAATGAAAGGTTTGATAATTGCATCTGTTACAACTTAGTTTCATAGGCTTTAATTCTAGTATGCATTAAATATTGGGCAAAATTGCACTTGACTAATTTTTTGAAGAAAAGTAATTTATTCTGTCAAGAAATAAAAAAAAATAGGCTTTGTGTATGGTTAAACTGTAAATCTTATGTTTACAAAATACTGTAATTTTCAGGAAATCACTGTATTAGGAATGTGCAATGACTTATATAAATAAAAGCCATTTTTAAAACAGTTTGGGGCTTGTGTTCTAATTATTCCCCCCTTTTTTTTATTTCTGTTCTTGCCTCTGTGTCTGAACGGGCATGTCTGTGCGTTTCTTGGTTACTTCGGGAGCAGACAGAGAACCGGGCACAGTAAGTACCCAAGCACCTGCTGCACAAAAACACGCGCTCTTTCCGGCAATGCTTTCTAAGAGCTCTGTCTTTAACCACAGGCACAGACACGTACTCTGCCTTTCGCCCGGATTTCTTGTCTCTTTCATTTTGGTATTACTGTTTATCTCCTTCTTTTCTTTTCTATATAACTTTTGTCAGATGAAGGCTTGGGCACAGATCCATTTGCTATGATTACTTGAGAATATACATTTGGATCTCTGTGTGTCCTCACCCCACTTAAAATTATGCTTATTGTTGCATTCCAAGTCCAGGTTGCCTGTCACTAAAGTGTGTGTGTGTGTGTGTGTGTGTGTGTGTGTGTGTGTGTGTGTAATTTTAGTTATGTTTTACAGGATAGAGGTTAAAATCCACATGTGAAATTATTTAGCATTGTGTTACTTCTACATAAACCACCCATTATCCATTTTAGTTGCTAGGTTTCCATATCCAGCTTTCTTTTCATAATTGTCCTTAGAATGTGAACCTGAACTTAAATTTATTTTAGACCAAAGAGCTGAGTATATGAACAAGCTCTTAAAATCAAGGAAATCCAATGGCTATCTATGGCTGTGTTCTTGTAGAACTCATCTTTGCACCAGCGGTAATCTTGCCCATTTTGCACCTGGCACCAACTGAATTTACCTCTCTCCACCAATTAGATGTATAGGATCTCCACATCTAAACTATACAGTGAACCCTCGTTTATCGCGGTTAATTGGTTCTAGACCCTACCGTGATAAATGAAATTCCGCGAAGTAGGATTCCTTATTTGTAAATCAAATATTTTCATAGTTAGAGCATAGGGGACATGAAAAAACACCCTTTAGTCACCATTACACTCGTATTACCCAATTTATTAAACGAAAAAGGGAAAATACAGTAAAACATTTTGGACGTTACAATTATCATTTATTATTTATTATATTATTTATGGCATCTAGTTTACAATATTACATATTTCACATACAGTATTATTATACATAGTTCTTACAAATACTGTAATCAATGGCATGCAACCTCCACGATTTTCTTGCCATCTTTGATCATATCCAAAAGTTTTACCTTTTCCTGGATGGTGAGCATCTTCCTCTGGCGCTTATTTTTATTGTCAGAAGGCTTAGAAGAAGCAGCTCGTTTAGGAGCCATCATAGGGCTTAGATAAAATTTCTTAAAAATCGCGAACAATTACAGTACACTGAACAAAAGCAAAAATGCATCTGATACGTAGCTCCGATACGTAGCGATGCAGACAGAAGCGTGTATAGTATGAGCCAATCAGTGGCAGTAATGACAGAGCAGGCGCTGTTACGCAAAAACTGCGATAGAGTGAAGCCGCGGAAGTCGAAGCGCGAAGTGGCGAGGGTTCACTGTATCTCTTTTATCTTAAATTATGACCATCTGAAATCTAATATGGTTATAAAAATGGACTATTTTGAAATTTTGTAGCATGTTACTTTGTTTGGAGAAGGGGAAAAAAAGGAGCTGATACCAAGGGCTCAAGTAGAAAGAAAATGTTTTGAAAATGATGATGGCAACATAGGTAAAAATGTGCTTGATACAATTGATGTGTGGATGGTTATAAGAGCTGTAAGAGCCCTCAACAAAGTGATTTTTTTTTTTAAATCAAACACTTAAAAAAGGTTTGGAGAAGATAAGCAAATGTTCAGTTAGAAAAGTTAAAAAGTTACCCCCCTCACCCCAGTTTTTCCCCTACTTCTTAGAACTGTTCCTATTTCTAAAATTCCATTTAAGGCAGGTCTTGTACTTCATGTAGCTGGATATGTTTGCAAGATTGGGTGATGCTTAAGTGGAAAGGGAGCAACGCCCCCACGCCCCCATTTGTACTAGATGTTTACTTTGGAAAATGTTGGCAGGGGAAGAGGGAGAAAAGAAAGTATAGCTGTTGTATTGATTATTTACTGTTGCTGTAACAGAAATAGTACAAGTGGGTGTCTTTAACTGATTTATTCTCCAAGTTTAGGAGCTAGGAGCCCAGACTCAGGGCCACCTTAGGGGGAATGTCTTCTCCATTGGCTCTTGAGGAAGGACATTGTGTCTTCAAGCTTCTCTTTTCTGGTTCTTTGAAATTTGCCACGTGTCATGGCATCTTTCCCCACCTTTCTGTCTGTTTAATTATTTTATTTATATATATCTCAAAAAAGAGTGACTCCTGATACAACTCACACTAATTATGTCTCATTAATATAACAAATCTCATCAAAAGGAATTATAACCACAGGCATAGAAGATAGGATTTACAACACATTTTCGAGGGACACAATTTAGTCCATAATTTTCTACCCGTTGGCCCCCTAAAATTCCTGTCCTTTCAACATATAAAACACATCATTCCCAAACTCGATGAAGCCCAAAATTTAACCTTCTGATTCATTTAAATTGAATATAGGAGAGACTCTAGGCATATCCTGGGTCAAAATTCCTCTTCATCTGTGAAGCTGAAATCTGGACAAGTCATAATGGCTCTTGAGATTTGAAAAGAATCCTTTGTTCTCTGAGACCCCCTTGGCTATGGTCCTGTCCTCTAGACTTTGGGAGTTGGCCATGCACTCTGGATTCTAAGTGGGGTCCCCTTCGCCCTGGCTTTGAACTCTGCTTTCCAGCCCCACTAGGACGGCACATCTGCTGTGGTGACCCCATTCTTCTAGTCCATTGGAGTGGTGGTTCCACCTCCTTGATTGTTACTGGCCTCATTCTTCTGTTCTTGGGCATGGCAGCCTTGACCCTCGGCTTTGGGCAGCAGTGCCATCCCCCAACCCCAGAATTGAATTGGTAAAGATCTGACATTGACACCTAGGAGGTTAGCCTCACCTCTTGACAGCCTGCTTTCCATGCTCCTCCCAAGAGTTCTGATCTCTGATCTGACCCAGTGATGGTCCTTTTCTCTGGGGACCACAGGTAGAGCTGCTGTGGCCGCTCACCTGCCTGGGAGATTTTGAAGTCTACTTCTTTCCTTCTGTTCTTTCTCTCAATTGGTGGGTTTTCTACTGTGGTCATGACCAGCTCCATTACTCATAAGCCTAATCTCTAACAAAAAATTATATAGCTACATCTTTGATGGACATTTTAGGACATAAGAACTTATTTTTACAATAGAACCTCCCAACTTTTAAAGCGCTTTTCTTTATACTTAAAATTTTAAGTCTATTTCTCATATGTAAGCAAGTAGAGGCCAACACAACTTCTTTAAGATCTTGTATCCTCTAAAATGAAAGAAGCTTTCTCTACAACTTTCCTTATACTTTTTATGAGTACCACTAATTGTCCTCCCTCCATCCACTTTACTATCTTCCCTCTGTGAGTAAAAAGATTGCTTACATTTTCAACCAGGCATACACATTTTTCATCCAGGAACACACATAGGACATCATTACATATACTCAGAAGTAGAGACATGTGGGAAGATAAATGCCTTTAATGGCGTCAGTGTACTTCAAACCACTGTTCATTGATGCTGTTGCCGTGTCAGAAGTAACTTCATAGTGACGTTTTACATAGAGATTTTGCTGAAACCCTCTGTACCTGTATCTTTTAGTATTTTTGTCTTTTGGGGTCTGTGAGTAAGGGCTTGTGACTTATATGCAGGGGCATTTCTTTTTCTGCTTTACATTTTGTGTGATGCTCAAGAAATACACCATGGCCAAAAGTGAAACTGGATTGAGGGCAACTATCACAGCATAAAACCCATCCCCATACAACGAAGGGCACTGAGAAAGAATGAAAGGGAAGGTGCCTGCCTCTTGGAATTCCACAGGCAGAAAACAGGCCAAAGGAACTGTATCTGTTGTCCTCCAAGAAAAGAAAAGGATCATTCTTGGAACAACGTGGAGATCAGTAGAACTGTGGGAAGGAGCCCCGGAAACTGGGCCTTATTGGTGCCAAAGGGTGGGATCAGGCTCTCCTAGGTTTCAAAGCCAGCTCTTCATCCACTGAATTCTGAAGGTTGGGGCTATCATTAAGGTATGTCAGAGGGATAGGGCCCCTGCCCCAAGCTGAGAATTGTAGCTGCCAGGTCAGAGACAAGAAATGGGACCTGTGGAGGCCAAGGGGATGATGGGGGACTACTTGTGGGCCAAAGATTGGGGCCACCCAAGGCAGAGGGAGCAGAGTTGCCACCTCAGTGGCCTGGAAGGGGAAATCGAAGTTCGGAATCCAGAGGGTGTAACCAGTACCAGGGTCTGGAGGACAGGGCCGTTGCCCAGATGATCTCCATCTCAGAGAACAGGGCTTTTAGTCTTCACCCTTGAGGACTAGACTTGGTTGATATCTTTATCCTTCCTTCTCCTCCTCCACTTTCTTCTATTTGTAATGGAAATGTCTACCTTCATGGTTGTTCCCCCCTTATAGTCGGGAAGTAGTTAATTTTACAGGTTCACAGATGAAGAGGACTCTTGCCTCCAGATAGAATATGTTTAATATTCTGCTCACATTTGAATTTGATGATTCCGAAGATAATATTTAGACTCGGAGTGGGTTTAAGAGTTTGGGGATGATGTGATGGGTTATAGGTGTTTTACGTGTGGGACAGACAATACATGTTTTTGTTTTTAGGTCCCAAAGGCTGGACTGTTATTGATTCGATTATGTTCTCCTCGTCTCTGCTTGTGGTTAATGAGCTGTGTTGGTGGAGTAAAGAGTTTGGCTGCTGGTTGAAACTGGCGGTTCCAGCCCAGCATAACAGCCTCCAAAGCGAGAAGGCTGGGGTAGTCTGCTTCTGTAAGGGTTCACAGCTGTGGAAAGCCGGCACAGGGCAGCTGTCCGCTGTCCTGTACGATGCTGATGAGCCAGACTGAGTGTGATGGCAGAGGGTTTGGTCTTTGTTTGTGTGTTCATGATTCTGTTCCCACTTGAGAGTGAGTTACTTTAAAGAGAGGTGATTATTGTAGTGCATGCCTTGAGTTAGTTTCAATATATAAAAGATAAAAGTAGATGGTTGGAAGAGAGATGTCAGGTCACAAGAA